TGGCCAGGTTTCTGAGCCTGTTCCCCAATCTGAACCAGACCAATGACCTTGACCTCCCAGCGTCCTGAGCTGTCAAGGTGAGCGGCGGGCTGCAGACAGATTCCTGAGGAGCTTGCCTCGAGGCCCTGGACACAGTAGGTGTTCAGGAAACAGGAGCGCGCTCAATGAGGTCGTCGATGGTTTGTCCCTCAGGCTTTGGCACACAGGAAGCCAGGATGGGGATCCGGGGTTTGCCGTCCTCCGGGTCAGGGGCCTGACCCAAGAGACAGACCTCCGCAGCTCAGCTTGGTTTCCCGTGAACAGCAAAGTCCCCAGGGTTGTGCTTAGGGGCGAGCGAGTGTGAGGAGGCCCAGCCTGGAACGGGGGGCTGGACGCCAGCCGACTTTCCCCTTACCCTGTCTTCGGTGGCTTCTGAGGGGTTCTAGTGCACAATGGGGACTTCCCGGCAGGACAGAACTGCATAGGTCAAGATCGGAGCCTCGATTTTGACATTGAACATGACCCCTTCAGCGATTAGTCTGCCTCCCCTTTTTTGAAGAACGCCCTAACCCCTGGAGTCTAAAAAGAGAGTTGGGCTCCATCGTGGGTGCTGGACACAGCCAGGCCCAGAGCCGCAGCCGCAGCTTGGCCCCTGGGATCGGCATAGTAAACCCCAGGTGGCGGGCGATCCGGTGGTCATGGACAGCAGGTGCAGAGCCGGGGGTAGGGAATGAGCCATTGGTATTGAACTTGACATTGACCAACAGCCCTCTCTCCAGATTGAGCAGTCCCCCAGCCCTGCCAAGAAGTTCATGAGGATCCCAGAACCTGTCACAGTACATACATAGGTTCTTGGAAAATATTGATGGAACCAGTATGCAAATTATTTCACCCCTAGCCGAGAAAGGTCCCGAAAGTCCTTCCACTTCAGTGCCAGATGTCACCCTGCAGCTGCTGGAGGGCATTGAGGTCTGCAGGTGCACCCCCGCCCCCTTCTCTACCTTGTCAAGTTGCTGAGAATCCCTCCATTTTGCAATGAGACAACTAAGGCTCAGGGAGGAATATGACCTGCCACCAGTCATAAGACTAGTAAGTGGCAGAGCCAGTATTCAACCCAGAACTGCCTAATTCAGAAGCCCAAGGTCTTTCTTCTGTAGCCTCCTCCTTTCAAGGTGGCAGTGTTTTCTCCCCATCCCACAGATGAGTAAATGGAAGCTCTAGAAAAGGAAGCCAGTGGTCCCAGGGCACACAGTGGGTCAGCAACTGAGCCTGCTTGTATGGCCGGAGGACCCTTCCTGACCGATGAAGCCCAATTTCCCTATTTTACAGTTGGAGAAACTGAGGCTCAAAAAGACACGACCGAGGTCTGAGGGGCACGGTTTTTTGTTGTTGTTGTTGTTTTTGGTAACGATTTTATTGAAACGTAATTCACTTACATACAACTCACACGTGAAAGTGTGCAATTCAAGGGGTTTTAAGTATATTCGTGGAGTAGCGCGACCATCGTCCCAATCGAGTTTAGAACATTTTCATCTCCATGTCCTCCGGCTGCAGTTCCCAACTCCCATCTCCCCAGTCCTGGGCACCACTAGTCTACTTTCTCAATTTATGGATCTGCTCATTCTGAACATTTGATGTAAATTATATAGTATGTGGTCTTTTGTGTCTGGCTTTTTTCACTTAGAATGTTTTCAGGGTCCCCCCGTATCGTAGTGTGTGTCAGTGTTTCATTTCATTACTGGGGAGTTATTCCCGTGTGTGGACATAACCACATTTTATTTATCCATGTATCAATTGTTGGATATTTAGTTTGTTTCCATTTTTTGGACTATTGTGAATAACGCTGCTATGAACATTTGTGTACACGTGTTTATGAGAACACATTTCTCTCAGGAAATATTTAGGAGTGGAGTTGCTGGATCATATGGCAACTTTTAAACATTTAAGGAACTACCAGACTTTTGAGGAGAGGGGCCAGTTTCTTGGTGTCCTCGTCAACACTTAGGTTCTGGTTTGGGGCTTTGTATTTTACATTATTATAGCCATCCTCAGTAGGCGTGAAGTATCTCATCGTGGTTTTGATTAGCATCCTTGATGGCTAATGAAGTATCCTTTCGTGCACATCTTGGCTGGTACATCTTTTTTGGAGAAATTTCTAGATCATTCGCCTACTTTTAAACTGGCTTGTCTTTATCATTGAGTCACGAGGACTCTTTATATATTTGACGTACAAATTTCTTAAATACGTGATTTGCAACTATTTTTTCCCATTAGTGGATTCTCTTTTCACCTTCTTAGTGTCCTTTCAAGCACAAAAGCTTTTAAGTTTGATGAAATTCAGTTTATCTTGGTTTACCCTTTTGTTGCTTGTGTTTTCTGAGCCTGTTTTGAAAAACAAGTAACCTCGGAGCTCCAGCTCCTCTCGCCATGCTGACTCGGTGCTGAGAGGCAGTCATCTCTTAGTTACCGAGTTTTGGACTCTGGAGCCAGACAGCGAGCGTGCAAGTCCTGGCTTACTCAGCTGTGACCTTGGGCAAGTTAGGCATTCTGTGCCTCGGCTTCATCTGTGAACTGGCGCTCATGTCTGCAGTGCTGTGAAGCATGAGGCTCCTGAGGCCCAGGGAGCACGCGCGCAAGGGCCCACCCGTCCCTGGCACCTCTGACGTTGCTACCCACATCTTGTCCCTGCAGGTTCGGGGCGCCTGCCCCCCACTAGGACAAGTGGAGGGGGTGTCCCCGCCCAATGGGCCTGGCCAGGGCCCTGCGCCGCCTTAGCGGCGCCCTGGAATCGGGGGACAGCCGGGCAGGCGATGAGGAGGAGGCCGGGCCTGGGCTGTGCCGCAATGGGTGGGCACCTTCGCTGTCGCCGGTGGGGCGTCGCCGCGGGCGCTTCGTCAAGAAGGATGGCCATTGCAACGTGCGCTTCGTGAACCTGGGCGGCCAGGGTGCGCGCTACCTGAGCGACCTGTTCACCACGTGCGTGGACGTGCGCTGGCGCTGGATGTGCCTGCTTTTCTCCTGCTCCTTCCTCGCCTCCTGGCTGCTCTTCGGCCTGGCCTTCTGGCTCATCGCCTCGCTGCACGGCGACCTGGCCGCCCCGCCGCCGCCAGCGCCCTGTTTCTCCCACGTGGCCAGCTTCCTGGCCGCCTTCCTCTTCGCGCTGGAGACGCAGACGTCCATCGGGTACGGCGTGCGCAGCGTCACCGAGGAGTGCCCGGCCGCCGTGGCCGCCGTGGTGCTGCAGTGCATCGCCGGCTGCGTGCTCGACGCCTTCGTCGTGGGCGCCGTCATGGCCAAGATGGCCAAGCCCAAGAAGCGCAACGAGACGCTCGTCTTTAGCGAGAACGCGGTGGTGGCGCTGCGCGACCGCCGCCTCTGCCTCATGTGGCGCGTTGGCAACCTGCGCCGCAGTCACCTCGTCGAGGCCCACGTGCGGGCCCAGCTGCTGCAGGTGCGGGGCCACCCCGGGGGCGGGCCGCTGCTGGGGGTGGGGGGCCGGAAGGGGCCTTCGCGGAGTGGGGACCCCTAGCGGATTGTGGGAGATGTAGGCCTGATGGCGAGGTGTGCATGGGGGCCTGGAGGGCGCGTGGACTACAGTTCCCAGCAGTCCCTCCGGAAGGGCCCTCCCCGGTTCCGTCCCGGATCAGCTTCAGGAGATGTAAACCCGAGAGAGAGGGCGATCCGTGACCAGCTCTTCCTGGAGGCTGAGACTTGAGATAGATTTTTGAGACATAAAGAGCTTCCTAAGGCTTGAGGATGAGCCCCCGATGGGGTTGTGGGAAATCTAGACCTGAGAGGGCCACCCTGGCCTGTTAAGGCTCTGAACTGCAGTTCCCAGAAGCGTCCGGGGGCAGGGAAAGTGCCCCGTGGGTGGTCTGAGGCGTTGATGTAGTTTTGCCCGCGGAGTAAACCACGGCTGGGGTTTACAATTCCCAGAGGCCTGTGACTTGAGGCCATGCCCCTGTGGGTTGTGGGAGATGTAGGTCCCAGGATGGGTGCAAGAACACAGTTCTCCATGGCCTCTGGGCACGGGGTCCTGCAGCTCTTGTGGGAGACTTCTTTCCCCACGCCAGGGGCCCACTGTCTCCCACCAGCCTCCTGCTCGGAGGAGTACAGGGCCGGGGCTGGGAAACTCAGCCGTAAAACAAAAAACAACTACAACTCCCATGGGCTCCTGGGATAGTAGTGGGCTCGCTCCAACGCTCTGCAAAAGGCGCTTTCGTGTTTCTGAATTGTGCTCAAACTGCCCAAATTCTGGGCAGTACCTAGCTGCCCTTGGCCAGTAGACACTTAACCCTGGGCTGAAGTTGGACTTAGGTTAAGAGGGAGGATGGGATGGTGGTGGGAACCACAGCTCCCAGCAGCATCTGGGGTCTCCAGGAGACAGGTGGGGGAGAATGGGTCCCCAACCCTCACCTCTGTCTCCTGCTTGAGATGTCAGGATTCCTGACTAGGAGGGATACTGTCTCTCCCAGAAGTCTCTGTGGCCTGTGGGGGTAGGTATGGAACCAATGGGTAGGTGGACAAAACCGACCTGGGCTGGGGACCGCATACCCACAAACACAAACACGCATACACACCACGGGGTGCAGGGCTTATAGTTGGTTTGGGGGTGGGGCTGTGCGAAGAGCTGGGGGCGTAAGCCAAAGCAGTGGTAGAACACGGGATATGGGACCTAGCTTGTAATCCTGGTTTATTTTCCCCTGGCCGTATATTAAAAGCCATTTTTCTCTCCCTCTTCTTCTCCAATTGCTGGTCGGATGTGATTCTTCTGTTTCTTTAACTTCATCTCTGCCTTGCTGATTTCCGTGGCTCTCTGTCAATATCTCTCTGTCAATATCACTCTGTCCCTCTCCCGTCTTTCTCTTCCTCGGGTTTCTATCCCCAAATCCTCTCTGAGTCTCTGTTCCCTCTTTCTCTGGGCCTCCGTCCTCCTCTCTCTGGGCCTCCGTCCCCCTCTCTCTGAGTCTGTATATTCACCCACCGCTGGTCTCTGCTCTTCTCTTCGTCTGCATCTCCATCCCTCTCTCTCGCCATCTCTCTCTCTTTCCATCTCCATGCTCTCCGCTGTCTGCCTTTGGCCCTTTGCCTTTCGCGGCAGCCTCGAGTGACCCCGGAGGGTGAGTACATACCCCTGGACCACCAGGACGTGGACGTGGGCTTCGATGGCGGGACCGATCGCATCTTCCTCGTGTCTCCCATCACCATCGTGCACGAGATTGACTCGTCTAGTCCTCTGTATGAACTAGGACGTGCCGAGCTGGCCCGGGCCGACTTTGAGCTAGTGGTCATCCTCGAGGGCATGGTTGAGGCCACGGCTATGACCACACAGTGTCGCTCTTCGTATCTCCCTGGCGAGCTGCTCTGGGGCCATCGTTTTGAGCCAGTCCTCTTCCAGCGTGGCTCTCAGTACGAGGTCGACTATCGTCACTTCCATCGCACTTACGAGGTCCCAGGGACACCGGTCTGTAGTGCCAAGGAACTGGACGAATGGGCAGAACGGGCTTCCCACAGCCCCAAGTCTAGCTTCCCCGGCTCTCTGACTGCATTTTGTTACGAGAACGAACTTGCTCTGAGCTGTTGCCAGGAGGATGAGGAGGAAGAGGAGGCCAAGGAGCGGGATGAGGCGGAGGCAGAAGATGTGGCTGCCAGCCCTCGTGTACTCACACCAACCCTGGCTCTGACCCTGCCCCCGTGATGCCAGCTGGAGATCCCGATTTGTATCCCCCTCCCAGAGATAGCAAGATGGCGAGATCGAGCCCTCTCCCAGGACATGGACAGTGTTCCCCAAGACCAACGGACCTGCTGGGTAAATTATTAGCTGGCGAAGTTCTGCCACGCCTAGTGGACCCACCGCGGACATACTGGATCTTAATTCCTCTGCGTTCCGTGCTCCCTTCTGAGACCCCTTAATCAGCTTGATTCCTGAGTCTCACCAGAGCTAAGGGATCCAGAATTCTGGCCCACCCAAGAGGCGAGGGCTGGTGGTTCTTGATTCTTCTACATGGCTGGCTCAAATTGTTGAGCAGGATCAGGAATCAGTGGTATAGACCTCCTCTGGGGGCAGAAGTCAGCGGGTCAGAGCAGCAACAGAAATCAAGAGTTTCTAGGTCTAGATTGACCTAAGATTCAAAGGACTGTTCCTGTTAGGCTCAGTCAACCAAGTATCAAGTCGTTTTTTTCTAGATCACCTAAGGAGGGAAAGTTATGGAATGCTGCATGCATTCAAGACTATCTTGATTGACCAAAGGCAAGAAACGTTGACCGCAAGTCAAGAAAAGACTTGTGGTTCCAGAAAGCCCATGTTTTAAGATTCTGTGAATCTAGATTGACCTCAGAGGCAAGCGGTGGTTCTAGAACAGGTTTGACCTAGAGAGTAGAACTACTCCAGAAACTAAAGAGTCGTGTTTCTAGAATGCACAAAACAATGGCGAGTCTGTGGGTCTGGAAGGACTGAAGTGACACGTTGGGAGTTCTCGATGATAGGTGTCTTCAGACCACTGGTCGAAGGACATCGAAGCAAGGGGATAATCAATGCTTATTAATGATCCACAGTGTTTTTGTTTGTTTTTAAGTGCCATTCTAGAATGTCCAAAGGAATCAAGATTCTGTGGCTCTACATTGACCACAGAGTCAAGGAAGGAGTAGCAATCCTAGATGTCTGAGATTAACTGGTTCCAGTTTGCCCAACAGAGTTGAGAATCTCGATGATTCTAGATGACTTCTTCGTGGTTCTGTAATGCCAAAAGAATCTGAGGCTCCAGGGATCTCGAGTTGTCCATTATCAAAACCCGAAAGTTCTAATCAGCTCCCAGTCCTGGACTCAGGACTTGACAGGCAGCGTTTCTGGGTGGACCTAGAAGGTGAGGGTCTGGGGCAAGACCCTGTGGGCAACGGCTAGTTATCAGGCAAGGGAAAGGAGAGGCCCAAGGCCGGTGAGTCGACAGTGCTCTGGAATCCTACACCTAGTGATGTGTGTCTATTTCTTAAAGATGTTATACATATGTGTATTATATATATATAATATAAATACAGATATCTATTTATTTTTCCTGTGATTCCTACAGGAGGGTTAGAAACAGAGCTCGAGCTAATTGGAATGGAGTCCTTTACAAGGATCCAGGAAGCTTTGCTCTAAATCTCAACTCCGCCCCAACGTACTGTGTGACTTTGGGCAAATCGCTCCCCTCTCCTCACCTCAGTTTCCCCATCTGTAAAAATGGGGCATTGGAACTTGATCTTCTCCAAGGGCCTTTCCACCAAGATGATTCCTCACTTCACTGAGGGTGGGGTGCGGATCCTAGATACTGCCCAGCTCTCCCTGATGTTAGAACGCATGGCCTCCCAGGGGCAACTGGAATGGGAGATGCTCTTGGAGGCCAGCCTTGAACTTGAAGGTCTGAATGACAGGGCTGGCCACGGGTATCGTGGGCTGAGTCGAAGGGCCGGAATCACCTCCGTAGTCCACTTTGGGTGGCAGTGGAAGGAGGGGGTAGCTCCGAATGCCAGGGGAAAGTATGTATTCAGGGGGAGACTTGTCCCCTAGATTAAACCACTGGGAGCCCTGGTGTGTCTGTGAGTGTGTTTCTGGGGCATGGGTCCTCGGGCCTGGCCCCTGCCCATGCTGCTGTCTACCTAAGTGCCCAGCAGGCTGGGAGCCAGCCACAGAAGGAGCCAGTGCCAGCGAGGACGCGTTCCCACCGCTGTGACCCAGGACCGAGGGCAGACATGGCCACTGCCTGCCCAAGTGCTGCAGCAACCCTGGTCCCCCCTTCTTGCTCCCCCTCCTCCTTTCATCCTTCAGAATCCCCACGTAATAACCGGATGGGATTAATTAGCTGGCTGCAATCCCAGCTACGGGTGTCTGGGGTAGGGCACTGGGGGCCATGGAAACTAGGGATGGAGAAGGATATTAAGCTGGAGGTGAAAGGACAGGAAAGGGTTCTGTTTGGAAGGAGACAGTGGGGTCAGGGGCTGGCACAGCCCGGGTTTCCACTGAGAGGGCAGGGTCTGGGCTACTCATAAAGGTCAATGAGAGGATTACGAGGCTCCGTTTCTAATCTGCCAGCTTAACCAGGTCCTGGCCCTGAATCTGTCCCCACCTGCCTTGCCCAGGGACGGTGAATGAGGACGAGGCCCAGACACCACCTCAGACCCAATTAGCGACTTGCCCTGACAAGGGTGCCCAGGTTCTCCATCCTGGCCAGGGCCCTGCACTCGCTTTTGCCTGCGACGAGGAATGGGAGTGAGAGGCTGGGGAGGAGGAAGAGCCGCAGATGTGGGAGGATTCTGAGAGGAGGGAGGAGTTTAAGATCAAGAGTTTGAGAGGAGGGAGGAAGCCAAACTGAGGCGAGTTGAAGAGGAGGGAAGGGGCTCTGAGAAGGGCGAAGGAATCGGGTGGGAGGGTGCTGAGGAAAGGGGAGTTGTCATAGGGGAAGGATGCTAAAGTAAGGGGAGGAGTTTGGGGGTGAGAGGGAGGAGCTTGAGAGGCAGACGGCTCCAGGAAGGCGGAGCCTGTGCTTTCACTATATTTAGCCTTTCCCTATTGGCCCATTATCCTTGGCAGATACCAAAAAGCGTAGCATTTAGAAGGAAGAACAAGTGTTGGTTCCACCACCACTCCTTGACTCTGAAGAGGCTGAGGTGGATGGGGTCATGGTGGGGGTAAGAAAAGGGTCTGGAGATCGGAGGACGGAGGCCAAAGGAAAGGTGAACCAAAGCTGCTCCCAGTTGCGTGGCAATCGCTGCCGTCAAAAGCCAGTTTGGCCTGCTGGGAGGCGTGGCTCACAGAAACAACCCGCAGCTGTGGCCCCGCCCCCTGGCAACGAGACTAACAAAGTACGGCCCTCCCAGCAACAAATAACTAGAAACGAGGCTGGTTGAATCAGTATCCTAGTGCCCACAGCCCTCGCGCAGGCGCAGTCCTCTTTGCTGCCGCATAGTTCCACCTCCATGCGACTCCTTTCCGAGGCTTCTCATTGGCGGCCTAGCCAGCCAAGTGACTTCTTTTGTTTCGGAGGCGGGGCTCGGCCCCCTGTCCGCACTCCGATTGGCCCCAAAGACCGTCTACCTCCGGCCGGACTTGGCTACGTCTGTTCCTTGTGCGCTTATTGGCCCTGGAGGATGGCCCTTCGGTGTCGGGGGCGGAGCAGACGAGAGGGCCTGCAGTGGATTGGACGGTGTCAAAACGAGGGGCGGTCCCTACTGGCGGGGCGGTTGGGAGGCGAAGGGAGAGTCTTTTCGGCGCTGAGGACTGGCGCTGAGGAGGCGGCGGTGGCTCCCGGGGCGTTTGGCGGGCTCAC